GTGGAATAATGGGAGGCTCATCTGTTGTTTCCACCCTCCTGTACATTAAAGGGGGACAATCATAGTTTTACAGAAAACATACAATAGAATGAAAAAGAGACCTTTGTATTTGAGGTGACAATTTTTCTGAACATTTGAAGAGAGACATTTGCATGTTTCTCATTCTAAGAGAGAAAACCACTGCAAATGGTTTTGATGGGGAGTGAGTGAGACGAGCAGATATCTGTCTCTGTCTACAGGCTGAAAAGGATCAGCAGAAGCAAATGCGGCAGCAGCACTCTCTATGAGCAAGGTCACGGGGGTAGGCACCTTTCATACATTAGCCCTTTGAATGCTTAAAACAACACCGTATGTAGGCATTATTCTCATTTTACAGATAAGGACTTATTCCTGAAGTTCACACAATTTGCAAGTGGAGGAGCTGGGGTTTTAACTCAGGTTTTCTGATTCTCAAGTCCATCTCTTATTCACTGAGCAACTGTTGGATACGGTTGTCCGTCTGTGCCTACCTCCCATTGAAATCATGGCTCTGCCCTGCTATGAAAGCCACGATCTGTGCTCCAAGACCCACTAGGTCCCTCATGGAGCCAGAAAAAGATCTCATTCTGTGCAGAAGCGAGAGAATGACCAGCCTCGCCACTGTGATCCTGTGTCACTTGCGTGTGCTCCTCCTCAAAACAGGGCTTTGGCTTCTGTCATTCCCTCTTCTTTCCCTGGGGCTCAGGGCGGGACTAGAAACAGACACCTCTCTGCCTTCTCCATTTTCCCACCTCTCCACCTGAACCTCATGATGTAGCAGAGATTGTGGGTTGATCGGTTTATTGACAATGCCAGTTGAAATGGGGTATTATAAAAAATGATACAAGTGTATGTAAACATTTTAAGACATATAAATATACATTTTTTTTACCACTCTTTGGATGTAAAAGGCCCTTTCTTTGAGTAGAGGATACAAACTGCAGTTTTATTAAGTCTTTATTATGTAACCACAACCCTTAATGCATATCTATGGGTTCTGTTTCATTTTTAAAAGCCAGATATGTGAAATGATAGATGTTTAAAGACATTTTTTCTAATCTCCTAACGTCACTTTGCCCACACCTAATTTATTTTTTTGCAATTTGCTCTTAGGGAGTCTTCCCAAAGCAGTTAACCTAGTTTTCCTAGCAATAATAACGCCTTGTTTCACACTTATCAGCTCATGTACTTTTAAATTAAGTGACATAATTACAGTAACAGATACAGTTGCCACAAAAGTGTTTGGGAACTAACATGACTGCTCCTTGGTGACTGTGGGAGCAGCTGTGCAGCCACCAGCTGTGAGTGCCCTGTGCCCTAGGTGACCTGCAGGAAGGTAGTCAGTCACTGTGCTTCACAGGAGTGGGGAGCCCCGGGGGATTGAATGCACCCAACTAACTGCACCCGATGCCTAGTGTCTACTGTATGAACTGTAACCCCTCTCATCATTCAGCCCCAAGAGAGGCCCCATGCAGATCCATTCATTAGAAATTAAGTGACTGATGTAGGGCTTGGCCTGGTTGTTTAGACTTGCTTAGACAGGCCTGCATCCCCAAAGTAGGCCAGGCTGAAAATGTTCACAATCTTCAAAAAATTCAAAAAACACAGAACTTGTTTTTCCCTGCAGGTAAACATAACTATTCTGCCTGTTTTCATGTATCAGCTGGTTGATTTATATCCCTGAATCACAGGATCACAGAGAAAGATGATGGCTTGTTTCCTTAGTGAAAACTGCCTCTTTAGAGGCCTCCAAGGCAGAACTTAAAATTTAACTTTTGCTTTGGTGCCACCAAGTGGTTAGTTGTGAGATACCACGCTGGGAGAAGAAGGCTTAAATATGACACAATGATAAGAAGAAATCTAGGATGAATAGGCAGAGCACAGAAGATTTTTAGGGCAGTGTAACTGTTTTGTTTGACCTTACAATAATAGATACATGTCATTATTTGTCCAAACCCATAGAATGTTTGCCACCAAGAATGAACTCTAATGTCAGCTGTAGACTCTGGATGATAATGATGTGTCACTGTAGGTTCCTTGATTGTAACAGTGTGCCACTGTGGTGGGGAATGTTGATAATGGGGGAGATAAGGGGTGTATGGGAAATCTCTGTACTTTATGCTTAATTTTGCTGTGAACCTAAAACTGCTTTAAAAAAATGAAGCTTATTTATTTTATTATTTTTAAAAGGTTTTATTGGGGAATTGGGGGAGGGGAACAGCGCTGGGGAATCAGAGAAGGGGAATAGACAAGTTGCTGTCATTTTGTTCTTCAATCTAGTTGTGGAGGACGTTGCTTCACAGGCCCATGTTGGTATTGTGATCATTGCGCTCTTCCCGGGTGAGGCAGTCGGTCGCCGGCCACTGGACAGTTGCTCATGGTGGCTCATGGCAGCTCATGCCAGCTGCAGGCCACTCATGGTAGCTTATGGCAGCCCACAGCAGCCCTGCTGCAGCCTATGCTGTCGCCGGTGACTCATGGCAGCCCAGTTCCAGGTCGAGTTGTTGTTCACCATCTTAGCTGTAGAGGGCGCAGTGCCACTGGCCCACGTGGGATCTGAACCGACGGCCCTGCTGCTCAGAGCTCGTGCTCCCAAGACAAATCTTAACCAACGAGCCACTCGGCCGGCCCAAAATAAAGCTTATTAATTAAAAAAAAAATCCTTCCATTCTACATACATTTTCACTTCGAGCTATTGGTGTTGAAGGTAAGAGCAAGGTAAGATAGAGACATCCTCTAGGGAGGCTGACAACTTCTCAAACAGGAATGACAATCCCTGTATGAAGTTCCCACATGTCAGAGTCTGTGTCCTTAGCTTTCTAAATCCCAGAAACCTTTTATTTTTTCAGTGTATCCAGGGTTGTTCAATTTTCCAAGCTTATATCATGCTCACCAAACTTACAAGGGACTTGTTGCTAAGTTAGAATGCCAGTGCTTCTCTTTACAATTAGAAATGTATGTGAAGTGGTGGGCCAAAACACATGTGTTAGCTGAGCAGTTCCTTTTCCACCTTGCAGGCAATTATTACGGGAAGACAAATTATACTGAGTAGGTCTTTTGGTGAAATCACAGTGAGGTGGTGTGTGTGTGGTGAGGGAAGAAGGGGGCATAATCTTGTTTATCCTGAAGGTCACTGCCATTATGCATTACATTGTCCTGACCACTTTCAGTCGATACACGACTCAGCTGAGAACAGTCACACTGCTGGGCAGTGCAGGGTCCTGCAGTGCTGATGGCAGGCTGACCTCATCTGTTTCTTTGGACACTCTTGGCAAGTCTACGCTGACCATCTTGCTTCTGGCAATCCATTCTCCTCTGGTGGAGCACAGCGTGACTGCCAGGGCCAACGCCGTGGACTTGCGCAGGTAGCTCTTGTCTCCTGAGAAACTGTCTCGTCACCATGATTATCATTAGCATCATCAGCCACCATTTATAGGTTTTTGCTTAGGGGATCTGATCTACTTAGGATCATTTTTAATAATTTCGTTCTCAGAGGAAAACTGATGTTTTATGTTCTTGGTGATTCTGTCCCTGAATGCAGGGTAAAAGTGGCACGTAAAATCCTTAATCACTGTGGAGTAGATTCCCAAGACCGGAACAGTACTTGCTGAAGATGGGAGTTATTCTAGGCTCTGAGTCAGTAAGCATGCATTCATGCAGGCCACTTGATGCCTGTGTCTTGAGAGCTGGCATGAACCTCACTACTTATTGGTATTTGCCAGCCTGTCCTGTAATTCCTTATTGGAGTTCCGTGCAGCATCTCCACCCCCACCTTCATCCTGGCTCCAAACTGCTGCCACACAGAGACCTCAGTCAAGGGGACTAGGGAGATACTTGCAGAAGTTATGCATGGGTGGCCTGTGGTTGGAATCTGATCCGCAGATCTCTTTTATTTTTGCAAAAATGTTGTTTTTAAAAGTTTGACTCAATCGCCCAAAGTTAAAAATCAGGAGATTCGTATAAAACTCTGAGTACCTAGTTTCTTTGCAAACAAGTAGATCTGGCTATGCAGGGCCTACATTCCCACAGGGCAATCAGTTGTTGGAGTGGCCCCTCCAGTTAACCTCAGTCCCTACCCTACCTTATCACTCATTTATGTTATTGCTTGGTGCTGGGAGTGACTCTAGGTGCATTGGAAAAACAAAAATAAAACACAAAACAAGCATAAGGAAAGGAGTGACTTCCAGTGGGCTCTTGCTCCCTGGTCTCTTGCTTGCCTTTGAGGGCAGTTCTTTCCTTGAAACCTGTTTCCAGCCTCTTTTTCTTTAGAACCCTGCTTTTCTTAGTATTTATCCCTGTGCTTTGAAGCCGCGTGGTGTTGGAGTGTTGTTGAGAAAAGCATACAGACTTTGGGATCGCATAACCTGGGTTTGCACGCCAGCTCTGCTCCTTAGTGAGCTCAGCTTCCTTTTGTGTAAAACGAGGGCTCTCACTGGCCTCATAGGTTGGTATGAGTATTAAATGGCACTTTGTGGATGAAGCATCACGCAGAAGGTAGGTACTCAAATAACAGTGTCTTGGTCCCTCTCTTTTATCAAGACATGACTCTTCCCCTTCTTTGTGACCTTTAAGTCCAGCTGAACTTCTGTAATACCTTTGCTTTCCTGCCACGTACACCTCTGTACTCTTACAGTAAAGACAACCGTTTTATTTTTTTATTCCTTATAACGTCCAGTCTTTCCCATCTGTACCTTTCAAATATTTTTTCTTCTCCTTCTCCTTCCCCCCTTTCCCCTCCCCTCCCCCCTTCTCCTTCTCCTTCTCCTCTTTTTCTGTAGCTAGACCTCTCATAGAGACTGCCATATGAGAATAAATGACAAGTAAATTTGTTTTGGGAAATTGTAGAAGAAGGCATACCTTTTATCAAGTCTCTACAATAATTGTACGTTGTTTTGTGATAGAAATTACATTAGTTTTTACAGCAGTGTGTTGGAACTCTTTCTGAATATATACACCTTTCCCCATCCATTGTGTGTTTATAGAAATAGAGTCAAGGTCAAACGCTGGAAATTCATCAGTAGGAAGTATTGGAACTAGAAGGGAGACGCTTCGCCTGAGACCAAAAGGCCCTGCCACCGTGGAAGAAGTGGTATGTGATGTTTATTTAGTCCCTCTTCTGCTTGGACATGTAAGGACATTTATGTTTATTTAGAGCTGGGAATAAAGGTAAAATCATGAGGAGAAATAAAATGCCATACATTCTAATTAAAGCATGGACTTTAATTCATTGCCTTCTAAAACATATGAAAATTATTGAAGGATTGATGAAGGAACTATAGAAACTAAGTGCATGAGAAGAGATTGTGATCTATAGCATTCCTCAGCTATCTGCAGACAACTCTTTTAGAGTCTGTAGACATCCGGACTGACTCAAAAAATGTAGTTTATCAACCAAAGCTCTGAGAGCCAAGAAAAAGTCTCAGAGCTACCTGTGGGAATAAGCATACTTAAGATTTTGATAAGGAAAGATAATATTCATGAACTCCAGTCTCCTCAGGTGAAACATTTTGTAGTCATTATTGACTCTTTCTTCTCTTTCATGTCCCAACATCCCTTTCATCAGTAAATCCTGGTGGATCTACCTCCACAACAGACCAGAATCTGGAAACTTCTCACCACCCCTACTCCCACTCGGGCCCAAGGCACCAATGTCTTATCTTGAACACTGCACTCACTTCCTAGTCAGTCTTCCTGCCTTCACCCTGGCCTGCTTTGCGTCTGTGCTCACAGCAGCCAGCATTTCCATTTCAAAACACGAGTGAGGTTATGGAACTTTTCTGTGGGAAACCCTCCAGTAGATTCCAAGTCCCTCAGAGTGAATGCAGAAGTCCTCCGCGTGGCCAACATGATCTGACTGCCTTTCTTCTCATCGAATTTCCCATCACTCTCCTCCTGGACCCCTCTGCCTCAGCCACATGGGCCTCTCTGCTGTTCCCAAACACTCCGGATTATGTCACCTCATGGTATCTGACTGCTGTTTTCACTACCTGAATTCTTTGTCCGTTTATGGGCATGGCTTGCTCCTTTGCCTTCTTCAGGTTTCTGCCCACATATCACCTTATCCAAAGGCTACATGGTCTCTGAGTATCTTGTATAAGCAGCCATTCCCGCCTCCCCTCCCACTGCCCAGTCTTCCTTGCCCTTATTTTTCCTCAAGGCACTGACCACATGGGACTCATAATATCCTTGCTTCCTCTCTGTCTGTTGTCTAGCTCCTTTGCTCACCTGTCTTGTTCAATGCGGTGTTCCCTGCACCAAGAACAATACCTGACACATCAAAGGAGCTCAGATTTTTGCTGAATTAGTAAATGAGTCACTTAAGCTTGAGAAGAGTACAGGTTTCACCGATTGACGGGGTCAGTGTTTGAGTGGAAAACACCAGAAGTAAAAGAGACAAGTGGAGGGAAGAAAACAGCAGGGTTAGAGGCAGCAGTGGTAAGGATTGGAAAAGACGCGCAGGTCAGGCCCACTCACAGCAGCGAAGACGGGGCTGGTGAAGTCAGCCTGTAGACAGAGGGGAGGTCAGGCAGGTGCCTGCGGCTAGCGAGCTCCTGCAGGCAGAGGCCCAGGTACCAGGCCTGTCTTGTCCCTGTGTGTACATATTGTCCTAGGAGTCCCCACGTGTTTCAAGAGCAAAAGAGTGAGACAGGCAAACAGCAGACTCTTTTCATAGAGTGGGGATCCTGGAGCCTGTGGGTAACCAAGGCCAGACTCAGTCAGGGGGCTGGTTTGATGGAGCAGGCACTCAAGAAACCATGAGGCCAACGGTTGGCTTTTTGAATACATGAGTCACCCAGGATGTGTTCAGTTTGGGGGAATCTAGAGGAAGATTTTGAGTCTGGTGCCCTGGTCCTGGGTGAATGAAAGGATTGAGTTGGAGGCAAGGGGCAATGAAGAGACCTGGGAGAGTCAAAAGCATTCTGAAAGTGATATATGATTACGTAGGTCAGAAAATCCAGGAAGTGACTTCTGGTCAATTCGAGTCTTTCTTTTTCCTGTGCCCAGCACACTGCTGAAGGCCAGTAGATGTTTATGAACAAATAAATGAACAAGCATCAGTGGGAGAGAGGAATCAGTAAGAGAATGGAAGAACAGTGGAAGGGAGCAGGCAGTGAGGAGCTAGGGGAACAGGCTGTGAGGAGAGAGGTACAGACCTTAAAACTGCTTGCAAAGGAAGCAGGGGTGGCAGGAAAAACTCCATGTCACTTCAGGAAGAGGGTCATCTTCTAATAGTTCACATGGTTAATAAATATTTTTTAAGCACATGCTAAGCTGCTGGAATGAAAAGAGTAGCTGAGGATTTATCTGGGGAAGTAAGAAAGGTTCATTCGTGGATAAACATCTAAACCTCTATTCCTATTCACATGGCCTGTTTCATTAAATAGGGCAATTAAAATAGCTCATGATGAAAGAAAAAAGCTAGTTCAATGCTAATATTAAATTTGATGCAAATGGCTTACACTAAAGGATTTATAGATTTGAAATAAATCATCCCCCCATAACCTAGCACAAATTCTGAAAACTGTGAAAGACACTCCACCCGTAAACCTCAAAATTTATTCAGTATGTGTTTGTTGAGACAGGTACCATCCAGGTGCTGGTGATACAAAAATAAATAAAGACCTGTTTTTTCTCTAAAAGGAGAGAGGCATGAAAAGAAGCTATTACAAACCAGGAGGATAGGGTTAAAGTCACAAAGGAGGGGCTGATCAGCTGTTGTCAGGGATCTGGAAAGAGGAAAGGTCAGAAAGAGTTCCCTCCAGAAGGAATGATTGAGTTGGTTAAAGATGGTGAGAAGAGTGTTATAGGCATGAAACAATGATGGGCTTGGGGACTGTATAAGCATCCGTGGGATTGGAGTGATGCTGGAGGTACCTGGTGGGGGTTGATGAGGCTGGAGTTACAGGCCTGGGTCAAGATGTGAAGGACCTGTAGATAATGGGGAGCCACTTAAAAACTTTTAGGGGAGCAGCAGAGACAGTTTTACATTTTAGAAAAATCCCTTCGTTCTGGGGGACGAGTTGTCGAGCAGGGGAGATTTGAGAGGGTGAAGATTGTAGGCAGGGAGATGAATTAGGAAACCTCTGCAAATAAGAAAAGATGGGGAATATTATTCAGCCATAACAAAGAAGGAAATTCTGCCATTTGTGAAAATGTGGATGGACCTTGAGTGATTATTCTAAGTGAAATAAGTCAGATAGAGAAAGACAAATACAATATGATCTTACTTATATGTGGAATCCAAAGAAAAAAACAAAACAAAACAACCCCAAACTCATAGATACAGAGAACAGATTGGTAGTTGCCAGAGGTGGGAATGGGGGATAGGCAAAATGGGTGAAGGTGGTCAAAAGATACAAATTTCCAATTATAAATAAGTCCGGGGGATATGACACACAGCATGGTGACTATAGTTAATAGTGCTCTATTGTGTATTTGAAAGTTGCTAAGAGACTAAATCTTAAAAATTCTCATCACAGGAATAAAAAATTTGTGACTGTGTGGTGACAGATGTTAACTAGACTTATTGTGGTGATGATTTTGCAATACATACATATATTAAATCATTAGGTTGTATACTTGAAACTAATGTTATATGTCAACTATATCTCAATTAAAAGAAAAGATGAGGGCTGAACTCAGGTAATCAGAATGTGAATGTAAGAGAGATGATGAGATCATGAGCTATTTAGAAGAGGAAAATAGTGGTGGCCATTTTGTATGAGAAGTACTGATAGTTGTTATAATAACTTACTAAATGGCTGGATAGGTACAAAGGTAAACACCTAAGTTACTTTGCATAGCCTGTTGCTTTACCTAGACCATTTACAACACACTGGAAAGAAGACGAGAGAGATACGTGGTGTCTGTTATTGTTTCAAAGGTTTAGTTAATATAAGAGAAAGTTGTAACAATATTCTCAAGGAAATAAAAATAAATAAATTTCATTTGCAATAAAATGCATATTTTAATGTTTTGAGAATGCAAAGCAATAAACATTTATAATAGTATTAGAAGTATTATGAAAAAACAAATAGTAGAAGAAAGAAGAAAAAACAAAACAAAACAAACCCCAAAAAGCATATTATGAATTTCTTACAATGTAATCATGAATTCAATATTTGCACTTATAGTTATTTAACATCTTTGGGCAATTTCTTTTTCAGCTGTAAAGTCATTTAAAATCAAGTATTAAAATAAATCAAGCATAGAACAACTTTACCAAATATAAAATCAACATTTTAAAAGAAAAATAAAATATATCCATTCATGATTTTCACTGAAACTGTTTTTAAAAATTGAGATGTAATTGACATTTAGCGTTATATTATTTTCAGGTATACAACATAATGATTTGTTATTTGTATATATTGCAATTCACTGAAACTTTTAACAACAGTTTTAGGAAGAACTTAGGAAGACCAAAGCCCTTTTTATAGCACCCAGGGCCGCTTAAGGTCTAGTCAAGTCTGGCACTATGTTTCTCATCACATGGGACTTTTTGCAGTCCCTATGGCATACTATAATCTTTCATCAGACTCCATGACATCAAATTACTTTGTGTATTGATTGCTTTCTACTTCGTGTATTTATTGCTTTCTATTTGTGGTGCCCTCTCCTTATTATCTGACACCAGTTCATCTTTGAAAACACAATTCTTGTCACCTTCTTTCTGAAGTGTTCTGTGACTCTTAAAGATGGAAATGTACTTCCCCCATGATGCCTTTGTACCTAAAATATCCATTAAAAATTGTCCTTATTGTCACATAGCTATTTATTTTTCACATCTGTATCCCCTTCTAGATTGTTAGCTACTTGGAGACTGTGTTCTTGGCTTTTCTTTGAAACACTTAACACTGATACTAAAAGTAAATATTTACTATATAGATTTGTATTGCATTACAGAGCATATTCTAGCTATATTTCCATTCAAGTTGGCTGAAGCATACAACCATGAACTGACTCCACATCAGATTTTCCCCGTATATGCCTTGATATTCAAGAGATTTTATATAAAAATATAATATCTTATTTCTCATTTCTTTGATAAAGCCCTCCGAAACCAAAGCCAAGGCAATTGAAAAGGTTGATGATCTTCTTGACTTGTACATGGGAGTTCGAGATATTGATTTAGGTAAGATTATACTATTTTTAAAAGACTTATACAATATTTTTTAACTTGATGGAACTTAATGCTTATTTATGTCTTTCTTGCATTTATGGTCAATGATACTTTTCAAGATAAAAAGTATTTGTATAGTGATGAAAAGCATAATGAAAATAAATATTAAAAAGAATAATGAAAAAAATACCTAGCCTTTACTTCTTACTAATTATAAAATGTTAAAGTCAAGTCAGTTTTTCTAAATTTAAGTTTTTAATCTGTAAACTATAATAATATTTTCTTCATAGACTTCTTTTATGGATTTAAAAAATATATAGGAAAAAAATTTTGTAAATGATACATATGAAAGGTACTTGATACATTAGACATACATCAATTAGATTGTATATTTATTATATTAAAGTTGTGCACATTTAATAAGGTTAATAAAACACTGTGAGAAATGAATCAGAAATATGAAGAAAAAGGACACACCTGGTGTATGACTGATAAGGGCAGTTGAGCATTAAATTTCTGTGTATTTCTTACGTTACCATTAGGATGTCAGGGTCTTGATTTGTCAGTTAAGACTCTCTGATCAGTTGTAAATAAAAAAAACAACAAAAACAACAAACCAAATTCTAACTGACTTAAGGAAAGAAAGGGGGGAAATGTATTGGTTCTTATAATTGAAAAGTCTGGAGGTATGGCTTGGCTTCGAGAATGGCTAGATCCAGAGTTCTCATGCTTTCATCAGGATGTGATTTCACTTCTCTCCATTGTGGTTTCATTTCAGGCCTCCATGGTATCCTTTGGCAGCTTTAGGCCCTCCTTCATGGAGTAAAAATGACTGCCATGGCTCCACCCTCTACATCTTGGTGTCAAACAAAATGGGAAAGAGGGAGGGCCTTTCCCAAGACATTCAAACAAAATGCCCAGGATTGTCTCTGATTGGGTCGCTTGAGCTAGTCACTCAGGCTGGGGGGATTGGTTAGGTGCGGTTCAAATCTTAGGAGCTGAGAGTAACTCTGAAATATAAGGGCTGAGATTGTGAAAGGACTGGCCCCTTCCATGAAGAAGGAAGATAAATAGTCCCTTAAGAAGAGCAGGTAGCTATGGGGTAGGGAAAGAGTAAATGGGCACTTAGTGGTGGGGGTTTGTGCCTGCATGCATCTGCGCACTCGCAATGCGTGCGCGCGAATGGGTGTGTGTTATATCAAGGATTATACTTAATACATTTCTTAAAGTCAAAGACTTGGACAATTTTGTTTACCTGCTACCAGGTAAAGTATTTTACTCAATCTCAGGTGGAGTATTTGAAGCCCATTCTTCCTTTGCTACTCCACTCATGTTCCTTTTTCCTTAGATAATTTATTCTTATTTTATCTTGCCTGTCTGAGCTTTTAAAATAACATTTCTATGTTGTATGTACAGATGATATCTGTAATTGAAAAAAAAAGTGGTACTCATTCCTAGTTCCTTGAAGAGAAATATAAAATTTGCATATAATACATTTTTGCTCCACACAGATAAGAATTTTAAAGCTGAGATGATCCTATAGAAAGCCCATGTCTGAAAACTTTTCTCCCCAAGCCTTTTGCACTTGGATAAATATGGAGATAAATGATGTGGGCCTGCAACAAGTTATACAAATGGATATACAATGAGGGTACAGGGTTTTAGAACTGGCAGTGCTCTTCAACTCAGATGAGGTAGTATTTGTTAGAAAAATATTTCTATTGAGTACAGTTGAATAACTGTATGAATATTATAAGATTCAGGAAGTAGCACATCAATTGCTGGATATTGATAAGCTCAAATTTAGGAGACCCACACTTTTTAAAGGTGAAAACTTAAAAGAATCCTCAACTTTAAACTTAATTTCAGGTATAAGCTTTATAGTTATTTAAGTAAAATTGGGAATAGTTTAGTAAATTAGTTTTCCTTTTTTGTTATTAAAAATACACAAGTATACAGGGGAGAGTATTGGATCATGGCACAAGTAATTATAAATGAATTAAGAAACAGTTCTTTAAGAATCAATTTTCTTTCACTCTGACAAATTCAGGGCACTAAACATTTCTCACAAATCCCTTGTAAATTAACTAGTAATCCCTTTGTAATTAATCATCTGTAGTAAATCCCTCCAATGACATGAAAAGTCATTATCATAATACATGATTAGCAATGTGATCAGTCACCGAGGGAGGTAAAGTTTAAAGAAAGTAATTATTTGAAGAATGCAATCATTGTTAAATTAGGAATTTCTCTCATTCAGAGCTGATTAGCATGAAATGTAAATCACAAATGTGACACTGATTCAACAACAAACAAATGTTTGTTTGTAGTCCCTGTGTTTCTTACCTTTCAGGAATGTTAATTCTTAATGAAAATTACATTGACTTCATGTTATTCTGGAGTTGTTCAAACAAGTTTATATTAAAAAATTAAAAAGTAATATGGCAATAACATGACTAAAACCAAAATACTAACCTCAAAAAAAAAAAAGCATTGGGATGTATTTGCTGTTTGAAAATAGAAAATAATTCAAATGAGTTTATGTAGCAGGTCACCCTGAAGATGAAAGTCCTCTGTTTGGTTGTAAAGTTAAGTTGTGAACTGTGACTTTTCAAATGACCCTATGCAAATGGTTACCTTGGAATATTATCCATTGCGGGAAAAAATGGGTTCTGTAAGATTTTGAGTTAAGACTTTATATGGGATTGACCTAATTTAATGAATACTTGTATCATATAAGTTTCTAATGAATATTAATAGTGCAAATTGTATGTAGAACTACAATATTTTCTTTCCTTCAAATAATTTTTAAATTATAATTGACATACAATATTATATTATTTTCAGGTGTATAGCATAGTTGTTAGACATTTATATAATTTATGAAGTGATCACCTCAACAAATCTAGTACCCATCTGACACCATACATAGTTATGACCATATTATTGACTGTATTCCTTATGCTATACTTTACATCTCCGTGAGTATTTTGTAACTACCAATTTGTACTTCTTAGTACCTACTCCTTTGTCATTCACCCCCAACCCTCTCCTACCTGGCAACTATTCAAATGTTCTCTGTATCTATGAGTTTGTTTCTGTTTTGTTTGTTCATGAATTTTGTTCTTTAGATTCCACATATAAGTGAAATCATATGGCATTTGTCTTTCTCTGTCTGACTTACTTCACTTAGCACAATACCCTCTAGGTCCATTCATGTTGTTGCAGATGGTAAGATTTCATTCTTTTTTTATGGCTGAGTTATATTCCATTGTATATATGTACCACCTCTTCTTTATCTATTCATCCATTGATGGACACCCAGGTTGCCTCCATGTCTTGGCTATTGTAAATGTTGCAACGAACATGTGGATGCAGATGTCCCTTTGAAGTAGTGTTTTGGGTTTCTTTGGATAAATATCCAGAAATGGGATCACTGGGTTCTTCCTTCTTTGTCTCTTGTTATAGCCTTTGTTTTAAAGTCTGTTTTGTCAGACTTTATAAATATTGAATTATAAATATTGCTACTCCAGCTTTTTTTTTTTCTGTTTCCATTTTCATGAAATACCTTTTTCCATCCCTTTACATCCCTGTGTGTGTGTATTTTGATCTGAAGTGAGTGTTGTAGGCAGCATCTGTAGGGGTCTTGTTTTCTTTTTTATAAGAATGCTTTATTGACTTCTGTTGGAATTTAGATATCTTCTGGTAATTAGATTAGACAAGGTCTAATCAAGGGTCAATCCAGAAACATATTTTCAATTTTTTTTAACTTTATTGGGGAACAGTGTGTTTTTCCCGGGACCCATCAGCTCCAAGTCAAGTCATTGTCCTTAAATCTTAATTGTGGAGGGCACAGCTCAGCTCCAAGTCCAGTAGCCATTTTCAATCTAGTTTGGGGGCAGGGGGAGGCGCAATCCACAATCCCATGAGGGAGTCAAACCGGCAACCCTGTTGCTCAGAGCTCGCGCTCTAACCAACTGAGCTAACCAGGCGCCCAAGGTCTTGTTTTCTTATCCACTCAGCCACCCTATCTTTTGATTGGAGCATTTAATCCATTTACATTTCAAGTAATTGTTGATAAGTATGTAGTTATTGCCATTTTATTTATATTTTTGATCTTTTCTTCTTCTTCAAGAAGATTTCATGGTTATTGTAATGACTAACCTTTATCTAAATACTACTGTGTATAATTTTATAGATATTGTGTTGACTAATTCTTATCTAAACCCTGCTGTGTACCATTTTTTAGATATTAACAGATTCAGAGAAGTTTGGTAACTTGCCCAAAGTCAGCTAACAGGTTAAAAGCTGAGATCCAATTCTGGGACTTTGATACCAAGATTTTTGAACTGCAGTAATATTGTATGTCTAAACTCCTGTTTAAGTATTTAAGAACTTAGTGGAAAATGTAGATTGATCAATATCACCAAGATAAATGTCATTAATAATGTAAAAGTTGTTCAGTGGTGGTAATGATATAAAGATATTCTTAAAATGGCCACTAGAGGTCAGCACTTAGCTGCTATATGTGGTATAACAATTCTACTCAAGTCATTTTTTGCCCAATTGTATTCAGATGTTAAATGTTGTGGTATATTGCAGATCTATATAGCTAACAGATGAGAAACATTTTAGTAGCTGTTATTATGTTAACATGATGCATTTTGCTAGTTTCTTTTGCTTTTCTCCTAAATGAGAGATACAATCTTTTAAAAGAATTAAATTATATCGTTTATTTCTTCTGTAAGGATGTGTAAAATCTATGTTTACACTTTATGTATTAGCAAAAATTTATTCCATGTTCAGTGCATGCTCCATTCTTAATTTTTATTAAAATTTATGTAGCAAATTACTGGTTTTTAAAAGATTTATGGGTCACTTTATTACATACAGTATTTTCAACACAACTATGAAAGCTCCCTGATTGGTGTTTGTATTGCTTTTGTAAGACCAGAAGTTCCTTGAAGGCTGACACCACATCTTATTCAGTTTTTAATCTCAGCTTCTACCAT